TCTGTTCTATGTGAAAATCCCCCCAACAAATCAACCACAAAAAAAAACAAAAATCCCCCAAAAATCAGTATACAGAGATGAAATGGCACATAAGCTCTCAGTTCCACAGCAGTGCTCTCAGCTCCATCTATTTGGTATTTTGTCATTATTTGGAAGACTATATAAAAATCACTGTTGATAAAATTTACCAATGGTGCAAAAATGGTAAGATGCTAAAAATCATGGGGAGGCACTGATTAGTCACTTAGTCAAGTGGGCTCTTTTCAACAATATGAATTTTAAATCAGCAACATGTAAAGGAAAAAATACTAGAGGCGGTGATGAACTGGGCCTGGGACTGTGGTAGAGAAGGAACAGAATATGAGCTGTTAGTTGATTGCTGAATCTATGGATGTAAACACAGTCTTGGACTGTATAAAATTGCTATCAAGTTGAAATTTCATCAAAGCTTTAGTGGGTACCCATAATTTAAAAGGGCATTGAAAAATTGGGAAGAATATTTCACTCCAGGATCAGGGAAGGTGAAGAAGTGACTGTTTTGCTGTCTGCAAATACCATCCTCAGGAAATAGACTTTTTAATTTAAAAAAATCTGTTCAACCTAACAGGGAAAAATGTAGCAATGTTCAGTAGTAGGAAGCAAACACTGGACAAATTCAAGCTAGAAATAAGGCACACATTTTGAGCAGTGAAAAATACTTAATCAGTCAAACAGTTTACCTAGGGACATGTTGGAGTCTTATTCACTGTCATTGTTGAAATATAATTTGTTTAAACTAGAGCAAGTAAGTTTTCTTTCAAAATGTATTTATGCTCCGATACTGCAATTATTGTGTGAGGATCTTTGGCTTGTGTTGCAGAACAGATAAGACTAGATGATCATAATTGTCCCTTCTGGCCTTAAAATCTGTAAATCTAGTTATAATCTGGCCGTGGTCTCCTTGCACAGCCCGTAGCAGATGGTTCCCCTGACCAGCAGGGTCAGACTGTGCTCTGAGCAGGACCAGGGATCTCCTCCTTAGGTTACACAGCTGGCTGGTTTATAAACCTGCTATACAAACAGACCTGTTTCTACTGGGCAATGGGTCTGTTTCCAGTTGTTTACCAAGCTTTTGTGCAGATTTTACAAGCAGCATTGAATTTTTATTGTTTTACTGGATCCTGATATAAAGTAGCTCCTCTGAGATATCTTGTCTCTTGTAAACCAGAGCAGTAGGTAGATCAGAACTGTGATTATGCTGCCAAGATAAGGTACTCCCTATAAGATTTTTTGGTTCTGTTAATTGTACATGCTGGAATAGTCTCTCATCCTACTCCATTGTGAAAAAGTTTACAGGCATGCAAACAGGGCCAGAGAATTAGAAAATTCAGGGTGGCCATTGCCTTTGTGAACAATGAAAAATGACTCTTGGATATGAAATGCAGAGGATTATTTTGAAAAAGTCATGTTTCCTCAGTCCTACATGGCAACCTTAATTTATGTGAACTGATATTAAGTGTTAAATAACTCATCCAGACACAGCTCTTGGCAATAATACCAGGGTAGTCATTACGCTAGGATGAATTCTGTAAAACCTTTCCTCAAAGTATGAGACACAAACAGGTTGTCTTCTAACAAGAATCATAGCCTACCTCCCTTGTCCCCTGCAGTGTTCTTTGGACATGTACTACTGCATTCACTGATAGAATCCTGAAAATTAGTGGTCCTCTGCATTTTCCATCGAAACTGGCTTGGTTTGAGGTTAGACTCGGGTTTTTCCCACAGCAGCTTATAACTGTTTTGTCATTTGTACAGGGTGGTACACAGACTGTAGCTGGTTATTAATTTGAATGGATGAAGTAGTATCTAAATAACTGCACAATTACTGAATTTAGGAAATACTGACAGACTAAATTAAAAAGATTCAGAGATGATTGACTCCATCCTACTCCCTTCTCCCAATGCCTGCCCTTGAAATAGCAGCATTTAAGACTGCTTTGAAGTAAAGTAAGCACTGCCAGTATTTGGATCTGGAAGAGAACAGCGAGGTTTTGAATAGCTCCCTTTGAACAATGCTGTTTGGCCGGTCCTGTGTTGCAAAGGTGGCACAGTGTGTTGCTTCATGTTGAGTTCCATTTCAGACCTTCAGCTTTAGATCTCATTTCTAGCCATGTGAGGGGTGGGAGCACCACAGAGGCAGCACACCAAGGCTGGGAGAGATTTGAACTTTTTATCACACTGTCTCAGTCAGTGTCTTCTTTCAGTCCAATGCTCATGGCATTGGTGGCGAGCTGTGTGCAGATCTCCTTTGCTGAAAGGAAGCTCACTCTGTGGAGAGGCCTTAGAGCAGAAAATGGAATGACTTCAAGGCTTAGAAATTCAGAATAAGAGTATGTTGTGCCCAGGGCTTTAGACTGAAGGTACTTTTAGAAATACAAAATAGAACTAGCATTTTCTCCAGTTAGCATTTTTAAACTTGCTTGTACCCATTTTTACATATGTATACTGCTTTAAGCAGTTTCTGCATGTTTTTAGCATCATCAGTACAGACTACATTACAAATTTCTCCTTCTCCCTGCAGTAGAGCTCCAGCAGTTGACTTAGTGCCTGCAGTGCTGGGACACACTTTTTGATGGTGCCACTTGATGTGCAGTGCAAACACACTGAACTATCGTTAGAATAAAAGGAAGTGCTTAATATAATTGTGTTAAAGATTTCCGTAAAGGCATAGGGGATGCTGCTGCTGACAGTAACTGGTGGGACAAACATCAGAACAGCTGAAAGCTGCTCCAGAAATCCTACAGTGCGTAGATGCTGTAAACCCAGCCTTACTGTCTGTCCCTGTTCTGACTGGCAGCACAGCTGCCAGAGTTTGCACACTCCCAAACAGCCCTGCAGAAATCCAAACAAATAAGACAGCCTGTGTCTTCTGTCCCCTTGTCCCTGCTCTCAAAGGCCTGTGATGGGTGTGTGTATGCTCAGGTGCACACCTGGGACCAGGGAAGCCCAGACAGGAGTGTTCTGTCTTGGGTTTGTGCTTCAGTAGAACTGTTTGTTTTTGCATAACTCCCACTAAGAGCATCCCTTGCTCCTCGTCAGTGAAGTGCCAGAGCTTAATTAGGTGATTGGGAAAGACTCAGAAGTTTCATTGAAATGTTTAAATCTGATTTCTTCTGTTAAGCTGTGTGGACCAAGGCCTAAAGCATGAACCATGCTAATTACAACCTCTCCCTCAGCTGAGCACCTCTTGTTTGAGGTTCTGTGCTCTTCTCCTCGAAAAAGGTCGATTGATGTGGTTTGATATAAAGCTCTCATGTCTCACCATTTAGCTTTAGGATTATGTTATGGATTTAGAATTTCCACTGCTCGAAAGGTGCTTGAGGCCTGTCTGGACTGCAGCACGTATCCAGCCCCTGCTCGTGTCAGCGAGCTCTCGTGCAGGGCTCCGTGGCCATGGGAGTGTTCTGGGCTCGCATCTCATTAGGAAATTTCTGCCATCACTGAGAGCAGCAGCTTCCCAAGTATTTACCAGCCCTTTAACCGAGCCTCTAGCTTAAATAGCAGAAGTTTGAAAGCTTTTCAATTTTGTTTTTAGCAGATTTTGAGGTTATTTGAAAGCGGATAACTTTCCAGCTGGTTTGGTGAACTACATAATACTATACAGCATTTTTACCGTGGAGGAAGTTTTCAAAACAAATGTTTCCATTATACCATTTGGAGAGGCTTGTCTTTGTCTTTTGTATCACTTAGGAAAATAAAAGCTACCTAGAGAAAACAGTTTCTTCTTCTTGCAGAGCTCCCTCATAGAAACAATTGCCAGTATTGACAGCTTGCAGGTCTTTCAGATTTCTGTCTCTTTTAGGGAGGATTTCCATACCTTTTCCTTTAAAAGAAATTCTGTATTTCTAAAAACACTGTGCAAAAAAATTTAGATGTACCTTTGCTTAGATGTACATTATTTTCAGATATGTCTTTATGACTATATGTGAATATTTATTATATGTGTAAAACCTTGCTGCCTGAAAGTATAGGGAGAACAATAAAAGTTTAGTGTGGGCTTCGAATATTTATTTAATTAATGGAAATAATCTTATATGTTTTAAAACTCTATTCAAGCCAAACCTAGAAAAGTGCTTATGGTAGGCAAATTACACATTTTACTGCTTGAGCCTTAGAAATGTCATTAGTACAAAATTAAAGGACTGCAAAAACCAGTAGATAATACAAATTTCAAATACAGAAACGAAATATATTTTGTACTTTTTATTACTCGATTTCTTTTTTACAGACTACTTTTTATTTTAACTATATGTTCTTATGTGCTGCAATCATAATGTAGTGTAATGATATTAATATTTTATAGAATCTGTATTTATAGTTCTTTATTTAGAAACAATGCAGTAGGTCTGCAGATCTTTGAATCCTTCTGGAATGGTGCCCTCCAAATAATGATAAATTACTTGTGCAGTATGCCATTTGCTAATTATATCCATGATTTACTGCAGAGCAAGACTTAAATCATTCATTTCAGTCTTGCGTAACAGTGCCATAAAATTTTTAGGTTTAAAAATGGTTTCCATGTGTATAATTTAAACAAATTTTAGAGCAATTGTATACACAAAATATTGCAACCATCCATTTGTTACATTCTCTGTCTCCCTTTTTTTTTAAACTTGTACTTTTAATGATTACTGTGGTTGAAATTGTTATGCTTCATTTTCATAATCACAGCTTTTAATTCTACAACAGTTTTCTACATGTTAGATTAAGAAAAGGATGGCTAATTGTGTGTAGATACCATGTCATTCCTGAATAGCCCCACATTCTGGAAATCCATTTTAGAAATACTCAGTTTATGAATTAGTCTTCAATTAAAGGTGTTTCTTTTAAAAAATGAATTATTAGTACCAAGATATTCTTGTTTTTAAGCAGCTAATGCTGATTTTTTAATTTCTCCACTCATCCATAGACCAAAGTACAGTTAACTCTCTTTATACTTTCCTCTTTGTCCACACCTGTAGGTGAGAAGCCTTACAAGTGTCCACATTGTGACTATGCTGGCACTCAGTCTGCATCCCTCAAATACCACTTGGAACGACACCATCGGGAGCGACAGAACGGAGCAGGACCACTCTCTGGGCAGAGTGCAAGTCAGGAACACAAGGACGAGACACCAAGTAAAAGCTCTGTGTTTATTAGGCCAGACATACTGAGAGGAGCCTTCAAGGGACTTCCTGGTATCGACTTCCGAAGTGGCATGGTCTCACAGCAGTGGACGTCAGGAATGCTGTCCTCTGGAGATCAGCAAGGACAAGCAGCCGGCATGTCATCTGAAGGAGCTTCAGAAAACATGAAGGGTTCAGACATATCTTCCAAAGGAGCACACTTCTCTGAACTTGGCCGTGCTTACCAGAACATGGTTGGGAACGGTGTGAACTTTCAAGGATCTTTGCAAGCTTTCATGGACAGCTTTGTCCTAAGTTCTTTGAAGAAAGAAAAAGAGATGAAGGATAAATCTCTCTCAGATCCACTTTCAGCAAAAGCTCTGGGCTCAGATGGCGGTGAGGAGAAGATAAATAGCAAGTCCTCACAGCGGAAAACAGAAAAGTCGCAATACGAACCCCTGGACTTGTCGGTAAGGCCCGATGCAGCCTCTCTGCCAGGTTCCTCTGTCACTGTACAAGACAATATTGCTTGGCATGGCTGCTTATTTTGTTCCTTTACAACTTCATCCATGGAGTTAATGGCTCTGCATCTCCAAGCCAATCACTTGGGCAAGGCTAAACGTAAAGACAACATCCTAAGCAACAACAAAGAGCAGTCCAGAGAAGTCTCAGCCTCGGTGAACAAAGTGAGCTTGCTCCCCTCCTCTGTGCAGTCCAGCAAGGAGGCAGGAGTTTCAAACATGCTGAGCCAGCTGGACTCAGCTTCTGAGAAAATGACCCAAGGACAAAATAAAGAGACCCTGGGAGAGCAAAAGAGCTCTGCCTGGCCCAGCCACATGGAATCCACTTTTTGTAATTTTACAACAGACTTCTATAAGCAGTTTGGTGTTTATCCTGGTGTTATTGGCACGGGAACACAAAATTCTTGCACCAGTAATGAATCCGAAATAAAAACACAATCCGAAGATGACCCAAATATTCTGCTCTCTGACTCTGTAAATAAAAGTGCTATTGATGACCTTTCTGACATAGCTTCATCTGAGGATATGGAATCTTCCAAGGAAGAAAACATTGAAGATGAGGACATTGACACAGAACCAGATATTATGAATAAGCAGTTGTCTGCCCAAAATAAAGAAAGCAGTGAAGGAGGCAACAATATACAAAGTGCAGTCACCTCACAAACCACACAAGGGCTCGTATCACCACTGCCACAAGCTTCGGAAAAGCAGTGGCACAGTCAGAATCTTCTCTCCTCACACGAAACTGCACAAGAAGTGATGAAACCCGAACAAGTTCAGGGTCCGCAGGTCCTGGAGAAGCAGATGAACATGTTGTCAGTCCTAAGAGCTTACAGCTCTGATGGCTTAGCAGCCTTTAATGGACTTGCAAGTAGCACAGCAACTAGTGGATGTATCAAGAGACCTGACTTGTGTGGTAAGTTTTAGACCTTCTTTTAGACCATTTCAGAAAACACTTGTGCAGAATCATGAAGCTGCTCTTTAAATATACTTAGTCATGTTTGTTAGTAATACATTTTTTTAAATGTTAAACCCTGTGGGCCAAATTCTTGTCCTATATGTGGTCTACTCCATTGAAATCAGCAGTGCTGCATGCATACTTAAACAGGATTTTAGAAAGAACTTGCTTTTTAAACTAGAGTAGCAGCAATATAGACTATCTGTGCTAGTGGCATCGGAAGGGGATACTTACTGCTTTAGCATACTCAAAGGAGGAAAAAGTTTTAAAAAATTCACATGGTAACTTGCAAACTTTTCAGTATTTTGATATACAAACCCAAGAAAAACACTGGATGCTTTGCCAAGCGAACCTTGCTTTCTCTTTCTTTTCTTTTCTTTTTTTTTTCCCCTCTTTCTTTGGATTGGGGTGTGTTCAGTTACCACAACATTAATGAAATCAAAGGCCAAGTGCATGGAATGTGTCTACCTGTGTTGAATAAATTTTATTTTTTCTTTCTTTTATTTTCTTTCCCTCCTTTTTTTCTTTTTAAAATTATAATTTTCTGGTTTGGTTCAATGGCACACATGCAGTACTTGCCCTTGACCATTTTCACTATTCTAACTAGCAGTTGTGTGAATTGTGATTTGCCTGATTAAGAATATGCCTCCAGGTAATTAAAATAACAACACACCAAACAAACAAAACCACCTTTTACCCTTTCTAGTCTCTGATTTACAAAACTGCAGTTTTACTTCCTCATATCACACACCTCATATTTACAAGAATTTAAGTTAAATCTATTTGGAACAAATGATATTGAAGATTTTTTTATATTATTATTTAGCTCCTATTTTGTCAGCATAGTGTTTCTTTGAAAGAGATTTTAGAGTGTCAATCCTTTGAAAAACAGTATCACTTTAAAAAGCAGAGTCAGCAAAGGACACAAAAACTTCAGTAACGTTCATTTCACTTAACCTTCAAACTAATAAGAAAGCTCATTGTCAGAGCTCAACATGCATAATAAAATGTGTTCAAGTTAAAAAAAAAAAAAAAGAAAAAGAAAATAAAAATTTATCAAGAGTTTTAAAGCCTGACAATTTAAAATGAAACCCTCAATCTGCAAGCATGTTAGAGTGGTTCCCCTGGTTAACCTAAAGTTAGTGGGAGCTTTGTCTGAATTTACTGGCAGAGTGTAGATGCCCAAAGCCATGATCCCCTTTCAAGGCCCCTCTCTGCTTTTCCATGTATATTAGCTGATCTGATAAAATTCTGATATCTACACACAAGGTTTATCTTACTTGTATCCTTAGAGCATTGTGACTTCAAAATATTGTCATTATCTGCCAATATCTGTCATTTAACCAATATCTGCCCAAGTATCCATGTGGCCTTACTTGTAAACTTCTGTGTCTCAGTGCACTAAGAACCAATTTAGGTAGATGGAAACATTTCCAGATTCTTCAAAATCAGCATTTGCATTCTTGAGAAGAGTTAGTAGTTGATTTAATTTACAGCAGGTAAAATCCTACTTGGATTTTTTTTTTTTTTCCATTTGTGGAATACAATCAATTAGCAAAAAGGAAAAAAAAAATACAGCAGAGAAATTACTGTCTAAACAAAGAAGTTAAAAAAAATTGGAAAACTAAGATTAGTTGCTCTGTGCAAAATGTCTTTATACTTTTTCACAGGCATAAGATTTTTAAAACAACAACAGAAAAAAATCCTTCTAATATTATTATTGAAATGAGGTCATGTTACTTCCATTAGTTTTTTGTTTCATCTTCCAATCAATTCAACAGACATTTTATGATAGCTTAAGTTTATATGATTTTAAAGACCATATCCTTTTCACAAGCTCTGCCCAGTGATAATGGATTTGACTTGAAGTATGAAGGAAAAAAAGAAACAACAGAAGCTTCTCTGTTCTACTTTTTAAGCCATTTTTAAATGTAAAATGCAGTAGGAGTCCTTCTGATTCCCCCCTACAGAAATAGCTTTTTAAAATTCTTTTCTGTCATTCTATTGGTGTTTGCAGAACATAAGTATAAAGGTTGATTATTTAAATGCATTATTTCATTTTTTTTCTCAATGTGTCTCAGAAAAGTGGATGAGTATGAACAAGCCCCATGTCAGTAGCTCTTTTTTTTTGTTTGTTTGATTGGCTTGGACACCACCTACTTGAACGTAGTGGTTTTGGGGGAGTTTTCATTTTCTCAGTGACATTTTATACTGTGAAATCACACTCCATCTGTGCATGTTAGTGTGGGGAATCCCACCTGATGTTTCTGCACTAGCAGACTAGCAATCAGAATCACCCTGTTCATTTATTAGCCTTCCTTCCTTTCCTCCTGCACAAAGCCCATGACCAAAGTTATGGTTCCCTTTGTCTCTCCTACTGCCTGGGAGATCAGAAAACTTGAGACACACCTCCAGCATCCGATTTCAGGGCATGATTCTCATGTTCCTTTTGTGTTTGGGGAGACTCCGTGCATTTGTGTTTCTTTTTACAGCCAGTGATGTGTGTGTTGTTGACATCTCAAGAGAAAACATTGATGCATTTGATAGCAGTCCTTGCACACTCAGAGAACAAGGCACAGTTCTCTTTCTGTAGTCAGAATACAGAGGAAATAAAATTGAAGTAAAATATTTCAGCTTCAGTAAGCTGAGATTGAATCTTTGGCAGGCCATGTTAATTGAGTTGAATTTCTGGCTGCCTAAAAACAAGCTGGGGTATTCAGCAATCCATGTGGATCATTTTTAGATGGCAGATTTTACCTTAAGATAGTAGGTCAGTTTTTAAGCAAAAATCTTGGCACAAAAAAAGTTTTGTTTCTAGAGAATGCCACCAAGTCACGTTGTTGTTTCAGAAAGTCACTGCACATGTGGAAGCTGTCCTCAGTTTCCCTGAGATGGAGAATGAGAGAGATTGATGATGTACACATAATTCATTTATGCTCCTATCATGCTTCAGGCTGCAGGGATGAAAGACACAATTAGGAAAGAACCATAATTACTGGATAATAAAGAAATTTTCATGTCAAAACGCTACTGAGAAAAAAAATCACGAATTTTTGTAATATTTCTCCTTATACAGCAGAATGAACAGAAAGGAAAAAAAAAGAGCATTGATAATTTTAGAGTTACTCCTGAACTGTACTTGGTTTTGGAGTCTCAGGTGATTCTGCCTAGGAGTGGTTCTTGTTAATCTTAGCTGGCACTCAGTTCCTAAGGAGATGACAGGCCTTTCCTTGCTGCTTGGCAGCAAGTAGCCCAACGGGGAGGGGAGGCCCAAGGTGATGGCTGCATGGCTTGGTAGCTGTCCTGAGCATCTGTGTACTCTGCTTTCACAGCCCTTGCTGATTTGACCAGTTAAGCTTGGAGGTTCTAGATCTATTTTGTATTTAAGTTTTGGAAGATCTGTTTTCCTTTCCATTTATGCTCTTCTCTTTTTCTGCTTGTCTTCCCATATACACGTAGTTGTATCACAATAATGTTCTACCTTCTGCTCCAATACTTGAATATACTTGTGATTTCTGCACAAGACCCTTAATAACAAGACCTTATCCCTTCTCTCTCTCTCCTCTCCTTTAAATCTCTCTGCTTTGTGACCAAGATGGTAAAATTTCCCTACTTGCATTTGCTACTTGGGAAGTATTTAGGCTTTCAAAGGAGAGCTGGTGGGCAACAGAACTACTGGCTAGAGATAGTCCTGAGCATTAGCTGACTGCTTAATGGGTTAGTGCTATTGAATCCACACTTAATGATCTCCAAAAGTATTAGTTCCATGTTGTCTCTAAATCTAATTTGCTTCCATTCATGCTTGCTTTCCTCTGCAATTAGTGCTGTTTTCTCCTGCACAGGCTCCACCCCATTATCACTTCTTTCACTGTTTGGAAACAGGGCAGGGCCCCTCTGATGCATGGGAGCAGTTTTGGAGTTCTGATCCTGCAAAGGGCTGAGCACTTTCAGTTTCCTTTGCAGCAGAAAGCTTTCAGCATTGCACAGAATTATTAAAATGTTCAGCATTGTAACTTTCTGAAATACCTTCCAAATGTGGAACTGCAGCGCAGACAAGAGGGCTGGGCAAGGGGAAGATCAATTGTGGCAGATTATTACAGCTTTATTGTCACATAATTATAGTGCTCTACCCCAATGTTTAAATAGTGAATTTAGTTATTGTAAATTGCTTATTGCCACAGGTGTCAAAACCAAAAAGATCATAATGCTAACCCAGTCAGAAATACCACCAACACATGAAACACGGAAAAAGATTTTTTAATTATTTGTGATGGCTTCACCTGAATCCTTATTGCAGATCTTTTAAATTAAAAAAATCCATATTAAGAAGCAAAAGGCCTGATATATCCAAGCTCTAGGACAACTCCGAGGCAATGGAAGGTCATCCTGCTGCTGCAAATGGTAGTACTGCCCATTTAAAGTATCGTGTAACGCACTTAAGGAACACTTTGTCCTGATCTGCAGCTGGAGGAGTAACCAGAATATTCTTTTCCTTCAAGGCAGAATGAAATGATATGGAAGTTTTACAGCAGACTTTACCCCATTACCGTGCTTTTGAAGAGGTTTCTTAGTTTCAGTTAGGAGGTCCAAGGCCAGCTTTTAGAGTACGAACTGTTCCTCTGAACGGGAGATCAGCACCTCGGCCCCCGCCTGGGTTTCAGACACACTTCTGGATGTCACAATGCCATTTGCATGGCAATATCAAACCAAACTCATATGGCTTGCTTCCTTTTTTTAATTAACTGGGAATGCCAGTGATCCAGTGAAGTTTGCGTTGCTGGATAAAAGGGCCGGTCTGTGAATAGCATTGTATTTGCCAAATGGTTCGCTAGTCATTTCAGTACAAACAAATGGATGGTGTCTGTAAGTCTGCAAACACTGTTGACATTTAGCCTTGTTTATGTTACTTTCCTTTTGCTGCATATTTTTGGCTAGAAGAGATACTGTCTGAATCAACA